GAGAGGTTGTGGGTTTAGGGAGAGGAAGGAAGAGGAAAGTGAATGAGGGTGGAGGCAAATGTACTAGGATTATCTTTTTTGCTTGTGTAAGTAAATGCATCATATTTGTATTATTTGTTGTTTAATTTCAAAAATTAATAAAAAATTTATTAAAAAAAAAACAACGAAGTTAATTGTATTTTCACAGCAAATGTAGATATTCTAAAGTAGTAACTGGCCTTGAAGATATTCAAACGTATTGAGTAAATATACATAGCATTGCAGTTATTGGTTGTGTTGGCTGGACTTAGCTCTGATTGACTGAACTGTGGTTTGCATATTGGTCTATATGATATTCTACACCACAAGGTAATTGTGGATTCACACAATAAATTTAAAATATAATGGACTAGTTTATGGTTCATTCTTGTGCAAATCTATGCATAGAATTAGATGCGTTAAAAATTACTTAAGTTGTCTGCTTGAGCAGATGAAAGACGTCAGATACAAATTGCAAAATAAATTGGTGTTTAATATATTAATTGATTACATCTTTAGAATTCGTTAAAAGTAAACATAGCCATCTGGAAAAAACCAAACAAAAACAGATTAATACCTGACAATCTGTACTACGTGACTACTAGTAGTGAACCTGTGTTTTATGGAAAGAAGGAAAAAGGTTTATAAACACATGTTGGAAATAGTTGCAAGATGACACAGAAGTAGATATCTGGCTATTTTAAGATCTGTCAAGTTGTAGTTACCAATCCCTGCTGTTTAAGGAAGCCTAGTTTTCAGAGTTATTAAGCAGTATGTAAACTGCTTGCTTTCTAGCAAAATAAATCTGATAGATGTGGGTTGTAAAAATCCAGATTATCTCCAACTAAGCTTTTATCTATCATTTGGTAAACAGCCAAGAAAAGGTTGATTAACTTTTTACTATAGTCTAGTGGTCCAGATTTTTGCAGCTGAAATCTGATAGGTCTAAAAACAAACAGTAGATTTTTTTTCTAGTATTAAAAATAGAACTCCTTTGAAAAATGGCATGAACTTTGCTGCTTTCCATTCATTAATGCTGCCATCTAGTTTAATAAAATGGTACTGCTATCTGCTCAACTGATTTGTTTTCTTTTTTAATCATTAGTAATAATGTTCAATTTTTAGTGGATGATGATGATGATGATGATAATGATGATGATGATGATGATGATGATGATGGAAGAGACCTTAGAGGTATTCTAGTCTAACCCCCTGCTCAGGCAAGAAACCCTATACCATTTCATACAAATGATTGTCCAGTCTCTTCTTAAAAACTTCCAGTGTTGGAACTTTACAACTTCTGGAGGCAGGTTGTTCCACTGATTAATTGTTCTGTCAGGAAATTTCTCCTTAGTTCTAGGTTGCTTCTCTCTTTGATTAGTTTCCATCAAAGAGATGGAAGAGTATTAAAGAGTATTATCTAGAAGGTTTTTTTAAACACTAATATTAGAAATAGATTTTTTAAAAATACAGTCCTAATATTATGAATTGTTTTAGAAAAGTTGACAGTTATTTTTTTTTAATGTAAACATTTGAAAGTCATGGAAAATCCTTAGGTATTTTGAAGGAAATTGGAAAATACATAACATTGTCTTTCTTACTGGTCTTGGTCTAAAGCAATGACAAATACACCCAATCATAGGTTGGCTTGTAAAGTGTTTATCATGATGTGAATATATTTTTCACAAGTGGCTAATAGAGTTTACTAAAGATATATATCAAGGTATAATTCAAGCTGAGTAGTTCATCTTCCCTCTTTTCCCCAATTATCTACCAGTATGTAACTTTTCCTCTCATCAACAAAATGTGGAAATTAAGAAACAAAATGTATCAGGCTAACACAACTCTAGACAGGAAATTTTGTGTGATTGAGGAGGCTAGTGCAAATAAAGGATCTATGTAAAAGCCTTATAAAAGAGTCTTTGATACATATTGTATAGCTTTCTCAAACACTTATTATCAGAGTTCACAAAAATAGTAAAGTGTGTTTGCAATGGATATATATGTTCAATATACATTGATATATATTTATTTCTCTTTCTCCAGGGATTCGATATAGCAAATCAGTTGGCGCTGATGAAGTAAAAGCTTTGGCTGCTTTGATGACATACAAGTGTGCAGTAGTAGGTATGTTAGCACTGCATGAGTAAATATCAAGAATAGGCAGAACGGACTTGGAAGTCAGCATGTTGAAAATTTCCTAATGATGAGATTCACATAAATTATTGTGTATACTTCTATCTTCTGCCTTCAAAAAAATGCATTTCATCCTCAAAAGACAGTTATTTAATCTAACTAGATAATAAGATTCTTCACAGAAGTGGCAAGCCAGCCAGGGAGGCCATGGGTCCTTTGGATGAAAGAGTCAAAGTGAATGCTAAAAGAAGAAAAGTAAATTGTAGAGAAGCTGAATGTTTATGGAGATTCTCAATCATTCAGGTCGTGGTTGTCCCAAAAATACTTTTTCCAAAAGGCAACTAGATGTTCTTGTTTTATTCTTTTTCTTTGAAAACGTTTAGCTTCACATCCAAGAAGCTTCTTCAGTTTCTTCAGTTCATTACTGAGAAACCTCTTGGATAAGAAGCAAAATGTTTTCAAAGAAAAAAAAAACCAAGGACATCTAGTTGTCTTTTGGAAAAAGCACCTTTGAGATAGAGAAGCTGAAGAAATTTTTTATTTTCATCTTCACAGGAAAAAGTTGGGCAGTTCCCTGAGCCTGAGCTCCTGTTCTGTTTTAGCCATACAGAGATAATAAAAGAAGCAATATGCTAGGCCAGGCATGTCAAACTCGCAACATCACATGATGCCGCGCAATGTATTGGGCCAGTTTTGCCATTGCCGGCAATGGGGTGGGCGCGGCTTCCACGTGATGCGTCCGGCCCATGGGAGCCAATGTACAATTTTGTGGTGGCCATCTATGCTGAAACGCATTTAGTCTTAGCTCCACAATAGAAAATAAAATAAAAAGTTTGCTGTATCTGCATAATTGAGATGCCATATTTGAGTTGGGATAATGAGAACATAATGTAATGATTGAGTTAATACATTGTGTTAGGTTGACTATTTTGAGGTTCACTATGTTATATGAATTGAATCAGTATACAGGTAGTTCTCAACTTAAGACCAGTTGCTTAGAGACCATTCAAATTTGTGACAGATTCCCCATATAGTACTTACAACCCAGTTTTGAAGTTACGACAGCTGCACATGCACATAGACAAACACACACACACCGCAGTCACATAATTGCATTTTGAGCACTTAGCCACTGGCTCACCTTTACTGCTGTTTGCAGCGTCCTGTAAACATAATCACAATTTTAAAGGGTTTTTTTGTGTTTATAGCATTTACTTCTGGTTTCCTGCCAAAAATGCCCATTAAGTATAATAAATTCACTTAACAATCACCATGTTTGATTAATGATCACTGCAAAATATATCATAAATTTGGGTCCACTCACGTAGTGATCTATTTAACAATTGCAATCATTTACACTCATAAGAGAGAGAGAGAGAGAGAGAGAGAGAGAGAGAGAGAGAGAGAGAGAAGAAAGAAAGGAAAGAAAGAAAGGAAAGAAAGAAAGAAAAAGAAGGAAAGGAAAGGAAAGAAAGTAAGTAAGTAAGTTCTGGGCAAGTTGTTGTCATTAGAGATTGACTACCATCTTCCCTGTAAGTTCTTATTGCCTGAGATCAACCACCATCATCCCAAGTGAGTCACCGTCAAGAGAGAGCGACCATCACCGCCCCATGTGTGTGGCTGCCGATCGTGACTGAATACCGCCGTGTTATGTGCCCTGTTAGGCAGAGGCGCCAACATGAGAGACCTCTTTGGGCTGGTGGCCACTTGGAGGGGAGGTCGGGAGGGCATGGACTTAAGCGGTCCCTACAGGGGTGGCGCCATACCACTTTTAATTGAAAATGCCAGATGTTGAACCAAAAATTGTCTTAATTCAAATCATACTCTCTATCACCATGCGATGCCCCCTCCCCAACACCAAAATTATTTAATAAATAACAAATTCTGAAATGTGGATGGTATGTTTTCAGAGTTAGCACTGTATTTAAGCAAACTAGGAAATGGGCATTGCTTCTATTGATCATGCTACATCGTCATTAGGAAGAATCTTGGTAGCCAGTGTTGGGTAATGAAATACCAATTAAATCAAGAGGCTTGAAATTTAAGAGAACACTTGTATTACTTCACTGTATTGATATAGTATACTGAGCAAGAAAATCAGTAAATCTGTATTTTAATTCTTGCTCACTGGATTTTATCTGAGGTTTCTGATTTATTGTGTTGTTTGCATTCTAAACATTCACCATTTTGGATACCTTTAGCCTAGTTCATCTTGGATTTCTTGTAAGTTATAGTGTTCTTGACGATCATCACTTAGGGTTCAAAATACATTTTTATCAGCATTTAATGTGAATATAATCTTCGTTTGACTTCAGGGAAAAGTTAAATTGACATCTCAAATTAAGTATTTGTGTAAAAAAGTCTGTTGAATAAGCCAAATGTTCATACAAAACACTATTTCATAAATTATGATTTACAAACTAAAGATCAGGATTACATATAACAAGCCAAAATCAAACCAATCACCTTATGGCTTTGTATAAACCAGGACTGTATATGTATCCATTGAGACAAAAGAGTTTAACAATGTTGTGATGTGACAGAATTGGTAGGTTGTACAATTGACATTTGCTCTTGGTTTTCACTATAAAGTAGATACAGCTCTACAATGCTGATTTCTTCTTCTCCTCTTATTCCTGCTGATTTTTCTCCTAGTTTTAGAAATACCTTTGCTTAATTTGCAAAAGAGCCCATATATTTTCTAAGCAGCAGAGCTGTCATTCTTTGGTAGGCTTTTTATGATATATTCCATCATGAATGTATTTTAACATGTTGTTTTTACTTGCTATTTTCCAAATAAAGAAAAACTTTGAATTATAAGGCAATACTCTCTCAACGGTTCTTAAAAGTTGCTCTCCTATTAGATTTCTGTGGCTGGATAAGGAATAACAATATAAGATGCTAATTTGTTGGTAATGGTGTATTTCAGATGTTCCTTTTGGTGGGTCAAAGGCTGGTGTGACTATTGAGCCAAGGAATTATTCAGTAAGTATAGGTTCTTCCCCTGGAATGAAAAGAACAGGACATGATGACATGCTCATTTAAAAAAAAATATTAGATAACTTTATTAAGAATTACTAGTAGAAAGAATAACAACTTATAAAACTTACAAAAATATAGAGTTATGAAAAGAAAAAGACAAAAAAGGGAAAAAAGAAGCAAGTCACGCCTTCATCCCAGCAATTAAAAACAATTTCAATAGCTTATCACCAACTCTTTAATACAATATATTTTATCTTCACCCCATGACTTATCTCTTAACTAGAAAACAAAATTCAAAAGCCTTGTCATTCATTCTTTGTTAGCAAAAGTCCGGAAAGGGAAACCAGTTATATCTAATTTTCTATTTCAACCTTAAATAAAGCTTAACTGAGTTTTGTGTCCTTAAAAGTCTGCTTCATGAATATGAGTTTGATGGTGTCCCTCAATTGCCAGAACTCAACTCAAAAGCGATTTGCAAAACAACAGTTCTTGCAGTCTGCTCAAAAAGAGCAGCTATCTAGGGTTATGTGGGTTATCTCAATGATCTCTCTGCTCCTGAGAATTTTCACCAGTCCAGCCACAAATTTCCTTGTAAATGCAGACCTGCTGCCAGCAGGACATGAGCTTGCCAGGCCCCCGCCCTAAAGTCTCATGACATACTCTAATTTTGAGGATGAATTTGTGTGTTGCAAAATTTGAATTAATATATACCCATATCAGACAATGGATAGTGAATCGCTGTAAAAGTGAAATGGGGGAAGACCAAATATAAATTGTTCTGTGTAAAATAGAGAACAACCTAAGAACAACTGAATCCTTTAGAATCTTACAGTACTTATTTATCAACAGATTTATATAGCTGCTCATCCCACCAAAGGTGGCAAACCAAAGGTGGCAAACAATACTTAATATGAACAATACCGTAAATAAAAACAAAAATATGTACAATATAAAAACCCTTATTAATAAATTATTATTAGCAAAATAATGAAAAAGCAAAAATATCCATCACAGAAGAGGATAAAAATGGCCACCTCTACAATGGAGCCATCTGAGCAGGTCACCTTGAAGCCCCAGCTCTGACAACATAAGCAATACTTATGTTGGAATACAAAAGGGAAGATGCTAGTTTAATTTCAGAGAGAAGAATGTTCCATAAAGTGGGTGCCACAACAGAAAACTCTTGTCTCCCTGAGATGCACCAAATGAAAGTCCCTGGCCAGTGGTACCTACAACATGCCTATTTTGCCAGATCTAATAGCTGATGTAACCATAGAGAGGTAGACCCTTAGATAATCCAGTCTCATGTCATGAAGGGCTTTAAAATGTAAAACCAGTACCTTAAATTGGACCCAGAAGCAAACTGGCAACCAATGCAGCTTGCAGGCAGAGTTGTAACACATGCTGGTCTAAGAGTGCACATAACTGCTCACACCACTGCATTTTATACCACTGAAGCTTGTGGATACTCTTCAAGGGCAGCCACATGTAGAAAACATTGCAGTAGTCCAATCTGGAGGTGACCAGGGCATGAATGACGGTAAATAGACCTGTCAATCCAGGAATGGGTACAACTGGCACACCAGATGAAGCCGTGCAAAGGCCCTCCTAGCCATAACTGCCACCTGCTCCTTGAGCTGGAGTCGTTAGCCTAGGATGATGACTGTTGGGAGGTTAGTGCAACCCTATCCAGCAGCAAAGATGGTGAAGTTTTGGAACCAGTGGGCCCCACTATCCAAAGCCACTCAATCTTACCAGGATTTAACTGAAACCTGTTGTTCCCCATCCAGACCCTCTTGGCCTCCAGACACTGGGATAAGATATTCGTGGCATCTCATAAATCTCCAGGGTTACAGATATATGATTACCTCATTCCATGGTAATGAATGAGCACCTTGGAGAAAATACTAAACCCTGTGGCACTCCACATAGTAGTGGCCAATAGTGGAACCTCTCCTAATCAATATCAACTGGAAGGGACCATGAAGGAAAGAGGCAAACCAGCACAATAGTGTGCTCCTTAATCCCCCCCCAATCCTTTGAGCTGGATTTATACAATTTCTTTACAGTATGTAAAAGGAATTTTAAAAGAATTACCTGTTAAGGCAAAGTACTGATGCTGAAAGATTTTTGTCTTGTCAGGATGCAGTTTATTCCTGAAAAAATCTAATGTAGATGTCATAGGTTTTTGTCACAATTATCCTTTTGGCATCCCCGATAGAGCCTATAATAATAACTGAATATTGATATTCTTACACAGGAAAATGAACTGGAGCAAATAACAAAAAAGTTCACATTGGAATTGGCCAAGAAAGGTTTTATAGGTGAGTTCATTTTTGTAAAAAAAAAAAAGTGATTGTTTCACAGGCTGCCCAAATATCGTAAGAGGTTAAGAGATCATTCTCCAATCTGTTGTCCTCTTATTATGTTGAATGACAGGACCCAGCACCCTCTGAGTTTCACATATTTATAAAAGCCCGAGCTAGAATAATGCCTGCCATCTCTTATGGATATCTGGCAACCAGATTGGTTTGAATTGACATTAAAATCTGACAATTGTATTCTTTAATTAGCACTGTCATCACATAATTTTGACAAGGATAGAAAAAGAATCAAATTTTGCAGAATTCTACTCCTTGTTAATATCCATTTTTCATTATTAAAGAAAATCCAGTATTTTTCAGCATTGTTGCCTAATTTAAAGAGCCTTAACCAAGATGCCCTCAAGAGCAGCCTGGCAGCCTAGAAGTGAACATGCTCGTCTCCCACTCGAAAGGTTGAGAGTTCAATCATAGCAGTGGCAGAGGTTTCTCTACCAGGGAGCAAAGAAAATACCTGCTGTGAACTCTGCCTAGGCATAAGGAAAGGCATCTGACCAGTAAATGCTCAACTCCACTCAGTCGCCCTGACTCCATCCCGAATGAAGGGATTACAGGACCGTAAAAAGAAAAAACTAAGATTCCCTCAGCTCCTTCCCTTAATCTAGTGGCTTTATTGCTCAGTTTTGTTGGTCATCTTATCCTTAAACATTTGCAGAGTTTAACATGAAAATATATGCATATCTTGTTTTTAAAAGGGTCTATTTTTCCAGCCATTCGACCTTTTTCTTCCTGCTTATTATTTTTCTTCTCCTTTCTATTCTGGTGCAGAGTGTATTTTCAATTGCACCTCTTTTTATTTTTGATTCCATAATGATTATCACAGTGATGAACATATCTAGAATGATTATTTTTAATAAAGAAAAAGTTTTGCTAGGTCTTAGGATTTGGGATCAAGATCTGTGCCCACTAGTTCTGATTTATTGCAATACCGCATTGCTTAATAACTAAAAATATAAATTTCAGCACTGTTTGAAATATTTACTGAACAAAGTAGAAATGTGACTGAATAAGATTTTAGTGAGCGAAGGATGGACTTTAAGTATTCTATTTATCTCTAATTCTTCTCAGTTATGCAATCCTATAGTCTTTTTCCTAGAAATATATTCATTTGAACTGAATGGGACTTCTGACACACTCATTTCTTTCTTTAGATTTATGCAGATAATAAATTTAGACTATTTTATACAAAATTTATGCAAAATTTAGACTATTTTATACAAAATTAGTCCATTTCATATGTTCAGTTCTCTTTTTCCACCTTTATTAAAAATAATAAAGCTGCATCCATTATTTACTAAACAGTGTTAAATAAACATACATAAGGTTGCATAGAAAATGTCTAAATTAAACATATGTTCAGTTTTATATATGTGTTTGTACACACACACATATGCACAATTAATTGATTGATGTATTCTGGCAACATTTGTGATTTGTGGTAGAAGAGACCAGTCAAAAATTTGACTGCTCTAATGTTTTTAATATGAGCAGGCCCTGGAATTGATGTAGCTGCCCCTGATATAAACACAGGAGAAAGGGAGATGTCCTGGATTGCTGATACATACGCCTGTACACTTGGACACAAGGTAAATTTAATTCTTTAGCTTGTTGTGCCTGCTTTCTAAATAACCTGACAGCTTGCTTCCTTTTCTGAAGATTTGATTTAAAGGGAAGCTATATGTTTGGCTGTATTATGTTTTTTTTCAAGTTTGTTCTCTTTTTAAGTGGTAACTACACATATTTCAGGAGATGACACAGTTCTCAGCTTTCTGGCCTTGGGAAAATATTTAGTTGGTATAGTTATATATTGTTTCATATTGATAATTGCAGGATATCAACTCATATGCCTGTGTAACTGGGAAACCCATAAGTCAGGGAGGAATCCATGGGCGTATGTCAGCCACAGGCCGTGGAATTCTATATGGAATTGAAAACTACATCAACAATGCAAAATATATGGATCTTATTGGCCTCAAAACTGGTTTCTCTGGGAAAACATTTGTTTTGCAGGTAAATATAGTATTTAAGTGCTGTGGGATAGATATAATCTCATTCTTACAGATTACTGTTAACAAGTCCATCCTTACAAATTGGGGCTGCATTTCAAAAGTGGTAACATAGGCAAATTGGACAAATTGAACTGAGATATTTGTAAAAATTTGGATTTTGATATTTTACCTCGCTCCAGATAATTTGTTTATGTATAGCTACATATTATGTACAGTACCATATAGATTATTTATTATGATCACAAGCATTTTTTATGAGATTCATTATATGTGCATACAAATGCATGCATGTGCATGCACACAGACATAGTGTTACTATCCCCAATTTATCCACTGAAGATGTCTTCATTGAAAGTTGTGGACTATTATTTATCATGCTTATCAGGTGCAGGTTGCTGGATAGAAGCTAGGGCTGAGAGAGAAAATGACTGGCACAAGGCCACCCAATTGACTTCCATATTTAAGAGAGGGATTGGATCTATCTATTTATTTATTTATTTATCTACCTACCTACTTAACAGTGAGACTGAGACAAAATGATCTGCTGTGGTGAGAGGGAGGGAGGGAAGCGAGGGAGGGAGGAAGGATCTGGGTTACTTGAAAGTGGGGAGAGTTGGAGGGATGTTCCAAAGGTTTGGGACATTAACAAACAAGAAAGGGATGGAAGGCACTGAGAAGATCTAAGGTTAGGCAGACTGATTGAATCTACTGTACAAGTAGTGTTCATACTTATTCAGTGATTGAATTTTATGATGGCACTGAATGAGAGATACTTACAACAGGTTTTTATAATTGTAACCATCACAGCATCCCTGCAGTCATGTGATCGCAATTTGGGTACTTGTAACTGGCTTGCAATTCCAATGTTGCAACATCCAATAGTCAAGTAATTGCAATTTGCAATCTTCACTGCCAGCTTCTGACAAGCAAAGTCAACAGGAAAGCTGGCAGAGGTCTCAAATATCAATCATGTAATTGCAGGATGCTGCCACATAAAGATAGCAACTGCGACTGCCAAGACTGCTGTTGTAAGCCTTCATCATCTTAGTCACTGTTCTCTGAATTCTTTCTTCAACATCTTTCTTGTACCGTATTGTCAATATTTCAAGTTCAGTCTGATCTCTCAAGGATAAACTAGAAATACTCAGTTATTTTCTGATCTCAACTGCAGCACACTGCTGGCTCATATTAAATCTATGCTCTGCCTCACAATTGAGTCATGTCCCATTTATGTTGTTGTCAGGTCCCCAAATCCTTATTGTCTTCCTTGCATATATACTCTTGTGCTCTTGTTTTGGGGCCTGCCATTCTACTGGAGGGAGGGGGAATAATTACTTTAGCTTGGGATAATTTTCGCTTTCTACTTTTCCTCTCCCGCCTCTATCCACTTGAGAAAGGAATGTGTCTCCCTTATCAGGGAGACGGTTACAGAGAAACGATACTGGAGAAGACCTTGAGATGTGCACCGACTGTGCCAGTTACCCAAACATTGTTGCCACCTATGGATTGGCTGAATTTCAAATGGGCATTATGACTCTGGTAGGAGGAGGAATATTGCTGGTTTAACTATACTGTTTAAGCGGGATTTTCTCCAGATCCCGCCTTGACTTCCCTACTGTCACTAACCCCTAATAAAAGTTTCCTTTTGAGACAATGCCTGTTACAAGAGTTCTGCTTTCTTGGGTGGTTAGCTGAAGTGGGTCCTTACAGTTGTACTTTGTAAGGGGAAAGGCTTGTTAGTATGTGATGGCAAAAAACCAAAAGGAGTCTGGTAGGAACTTTGCCAACTAACAAATTTTATTAAGAGGCTGTGAGTTGCAGCTGATTTCATGCATAGAATGGGTGGACTAATGTAGGATGAGGTGAAAGATGGAGGGGATGGGGAAGATAGGTTATCTGTATCTGCAGCTCAAAAAAGCTTATGCCTTTTAATAAAATCTGTTAATTGGAGAAAGTGCTACTAGACTCCTGCTATTTTGTACCTGTGCATCTGGTTCTTTCTACCTAAGTGCACAACCCTTTATTTCTTGTGCTTGAACTACATTTTTGAAAAATAGAGGCCAGAGTTCTAGTTTAATATTAGCCTTTTGAACCTTGAAGCTGTCATCTCAGATGTTAGCAGCTTTCTTTATTAGCTTTGTGTCATCTGTCAATTTGCTGAACCTCTATTCTATCCCCTCATCTAGGTTATTTATGAAAATTTTCAAGAGCACTGGGGGGGATTAGGGATAGTCAGACTAATGAGATATGCTGCCCTGGGAGAAAGAGAGAGAGGTAGTGCATGTCAGCTTTGGCTTTTTCTCTTTTTCCTCAGCCAGCAGTGCTGATGCCTGTAACGTTTTGCCTGCTTGTTATCTACCTTCCAGCAAAACAGTGTCTACACAGAGTAGCTTCATTTTGTTCTACAGTATATATAGATCACAATATCTGAAACACATTTCAGTTTGAGCATAGACTATAAAAATACCTGTTCATGGAACCATTCAGAATAGAATGTATTCACACCTCTATTGAATTTCTGTTGAAGTAAATTGTTACCATCTGCTTTAAGCTGCTGTAAGCTTCCATATGGCCATATAATTGGCTAGAACAAATTTCTGGCAATTTGCACAACTCCTATCATAGTGTATCTCAGGTAGAGATAGACTAGTATTATCATTCTGTAGGCTAACAAGTTTTGGCTTTTAAAATGTCATCAAGGCTTTTCAGATTTCACAGCACAATCTAAACCAGAAGCTCTACCATGGAACAGGTCCTTTTTATTCTTTCCAATCCACTGGGATGTAAAAAGACTTCAACAGAAGGAGATCAAATTTGGCATGATGGGAGAAATTAGCAAAAGAAAGATTAAATAGAAAATAGCTAAGATCTGTGTAGAAACTGCAAAAAAATAAAAATAGAAAAAATTCTTCCACCATTTTCCAATGGAAAACAGTCAGACGGTGCTTGGAATCTTGTTGACT